ACCTTTGTGTATTTTAAATATCAGGAGCCATTTGCTCGACCCCACAGCCAATTTATATAGGCTTTTGTACAAGCACATATAAGCCGTAGTATAGTATTCTTTTTACTGGTCTTAGTAAGTATGATTACTCTAATTTGCATTATTAGCATAGGCATATTACTTCTAGCAGCCGTATACTGGTCCTTGTAAGCCAAACTGAGTAGCAACTGACAAAGCCAGATCGACAGAGGTGGGAGGGTGGGACCAAGGCAAGCCCTGGTGTGCTCCGGGTCTCAAAATGTATTTACTCGGAATGGCATAAATCCATATGGGCACTCCCTGTTGAGATCGAGGGGACATTCAAGTGTAGTTTCATGGGTTTTGTCCCCGCCAAGATTCCTGGTCCCCTAGTCTTTCAAAATCCTCAGCATTAAGGACGATCCAACATAAAGAACTTAGGTTTAATTTAGGCAAATGTACTAGCATAATAGCCACATGCGGATCGCAGTTGAAGCAGTTCTATTTATATTAAATTATTTTCCACAAATGTCTTTTTTATCCTCTATAGTGTGATATTTGCAGCGGTGTTTCGTCCCCTAATCTGCCCAATTATTTTTGCCATTCTCCGTTTTTCAACTCTGACGATGGGCTTCATTGTCTGTAGTCATTCTCGTGGCGGTTCTGCTATGCTCGCCAGCTCGTCGCTGGACTCAGCAGTTCACAAGGTTGCATCTTCGGCATTTCGGTGATGATCTCGTGACCTATATCGTCCCCTCATCCTTTCGACTCCGTTGTCCGCGATGACCTCCTCCTGTCTAACCTCCCTGATGGTTGATCCTGGAGCCAGTCGGGTAGCCTATCGGTGGTGAACGGTAGCTTCTGCTGCTATATGATTCATCCACTTTATATTTATTTTTACCACAGCACTAAATTTGAAATATCGAGGCCTTCCGGACTTAAAATATGTAAATTATAGATATATATTGATATATATATATATATTGGAGTGGACCCGACAAACAGGTTGCTAATGGAGTTTTTAAGGGCTTCGGTCATTTACTCTAAATATACTAACT